CTCCAACTCCCCCGAGATCATTCGCCGCCTCGGCGTCATTGGCATGAACACCCCTGTCGAGGTTGACATTTACGCCCACGCCAACAGCACGTGCGTCATGGGCTCCCGCATGCTCAACGGTATGGGCGGTAGCGGCGATTTCCTCCGCAACGCAAAGTACAGCATCATGCACACTCCCTCGACGCGCCCTTCCAAAACAGACCCCCACGGAGTCAGCTGTATCGTCCCAATGTGCACGCACATTGACCAGACCGAGGCGGACATTGACGTCATTGTCACTGAGCAAGGCCTCGCTGACGTTCGTGGGCTGAGTCCCCGCGAGCGTGCGCGCGTCATCATTAAGAAGTGCGCCCACCCGGTCTACCAGCCCATCCTCCTCGACTACTTCGAGAAGGCCGAGTTTGAGTGCTTGCGCAAGGGCATGGGCCACGAGCCTCATCTGCTCTTCAACTCCTTTGATCTCCACAAGGCACTGGTTGAGGAGGGTAGTATGCAGAAGGTCAAGAGCTTCAAATGAACAGGCCAGCATTGCCCGACGCCACCGTCAAGGAACAAGACCTAAAAACGTTTAGAGCTACCTGAAAAAGGCATTGTTGGATTTGCTTGCATTGGTGTATTGGTGCATTCGCAGGGCAGGCCTGCGATTTCGGAGCATTGATAGAATACTTAGTCCCTTCTTCTTTTTTGTTGATAGAGAAATGATACCTCGCTGGATAATGGAGCATTTACATTATTTGCCAAGCATTGGCAGTGGATACCGCATGCTGTCAAAGGTGAAGATCAATCTCGACCTACATAAGATACACAGCGCCGGCGCGCCGGAGATATCACTCCTCGGCCGCCCGACCCCCGACCCGGAACCCCGATAGTCTCGGCCCGTACAAACTTCCAACTCGAAGCTGAAATCTTCAACCCCCGGCCCCTTCATCTCCGACTACGCTCAACAACCTCCTCCAACGCATCAACCGCCTCCCCAGGCCCATCCCCATGCCCGCCAAAATCCACGCTCACCCTCTCGGCCGCACTCCGGAACTTTTCATCGTCGATGACCCGCTCCACCGCGCGCCTCAACACATTTTCACTTGGCGCGTCGGTCGCGAGATCGATCCCGGCGCCGCTCCACGCCACCCGCGAGCTCACGTCGGCCTTATCCTCGCTTCGACCGGCGCAGACTAACGGTACGCCGAAGCGCAGCGCCGCGAGAACGCCGTTATAGCCTGCGTTGGTGACCATTACGCCCACGTGCGGGAGGAGTCGGGCGTGGGGGATGAAGGTGGCTACGCGGGCGTTTGACGGGAGGGAGAGGGAGGATGCTGGGAGGTGAGTCTCTGCGTTTGGGATTGTGGCGATGACGAGGAGGTCTGGGCGGTGGGCGAGGGCGGCGAGGGTTGGTGTGATGAGGTTTGCGGCGTTTGTTGCGTAGGTGCCTTGTGTTACGTGGATTACCTTTTCCCGCGGGTGAGCGAGCATCTCATCCCACCATTTAGGCAGAGGCTCGAGCTCGTCTTCGTTGAAGAGCGGGAGGAGCGGTCCGACGAATTTCACGGCTGGGTGGAGGTTCTTGCGCGGGAATTCGAAGGCTGGCGTCGTGGGCATGATGTGTAGAATATCCGACCTCGTAGAATCGTAGAACCCCGACGCCGGCAAGGGCGGAAGACCGAGCTCTTCGCGGTGGGCGTTGAGCGCGGCCGTGAGTTTCGGGTAGAGAAGCCAGCTCGCGGCCGCGTGCGCGAGGGCGTTGAGCCACCGGCCGAAGAGGGTCGCCGGGGGCGCCCAGCCGGTACCCCACGGCGGGACCTCCGGGTCGAGAGTGACGAGCGGGTTAATACCCAGCGTCGCGTACGGTAAGCCCGTGAGGTCACGGAGGCAGTGTGCGCCGTAGGCGCAGAGGTCTACAAGTAGGATATCCGCCTTGAACGCCGACGTTCCGTCGGAGCCGTCGAGGACGGCGCGGTAGGCTTCGACTTGGTCTGGTACCCTGTCGAGAAACAGCTTCCGGAGGGTGGAGGCTACGGCGGCAAGGCCAGAGGTCTCCGGGTCCGGTGCGAGGGCGGTCTCGTCGTGCGCGGCGAGCGGGGGCGGGGAGGGGATGAAGAGTGCGCCGGTTTGTGGGATCATGTGGGCGTGGGAGGCGGATGTGAGCCAGGCTACGGTGTGGCCTCTGCGGGCGAGGGCGAGGGCGATGGGTTGCATCGGGTGGATGTGGCCTGCGAAGGGCATCGTTGCGATGAGGACCTTCATCTTAGTTTGAGTTGCCGGAGGGTATTCGGAGAGAGTTTGTGCTCGGCGCGGGTACAATCGTTGGTTGAAGGCGTCCTAGATGGAAAGAGTGACGATTCTGTAACTGATTAGCATATCTTGTATCACTATCCACTAGGTGCTCTGAGGTGAGATGCGATGATGTGAGAGTGATGCCCCTCCCTTGCCGCACTATGTAATCTCACCCGGGCGCGGATGCCCCGGTCGGTTAGTGTAGGATCGCATGTCAATTAAGGTTAAATGAGACGTTGTGATAGACGTCTCTTACCCTCTCAGTATAGCGATTCAAACGAAACATCTTCTCCAAAAGAGTTTAATTGAGATAACATATCTGTCTAACTGTGGTTGAGTCTCGTAGTCTTGGAAGTTCGAAAAATCCTGATATCCATGACTCTGTCACCGAAGTGACCAAAGTTCACTGCTCCGACCGAAGTTATGCGGGGCTTTGGGCGAGACTTCCCGCGGATCTTGAGGTGAAGAAACACCGTGTTGACTCCCGCTGCTTGAATATCCTGCCAAAGCCAGTAAGACATCGAATATTCGAGGCTGGGAGAAAGTGATAAGTTCAACATTTACAGAGTCCTGATCTGCCAATAGGCTTCATCAGCAGCTGTACCTGTGTTCCAAATTTTCTCCAAAGGCTATACAAGCCTTCTCATTGCTCTCAAGTCCGGGGGCACGAAGGACGATCGGCGCCCATGTTACACGTCGTAAATAATGTTACCGCCCTAGGTATTCAACAAATTCTTTTCGCTATACAGTTCATGTCAAAGGAACTCAGAAACATATCCGTACAGCCGTCATGATCGCTGCAGAAAATGGACCCACTCCAATTTCAACCAATTGTGTAGATCGAGAATGTCACCAGTCCTCATACCAACATGGTCTCGCATCTTCTCCAAGCGTTACTCAACCGCTAGCATATGCATTCTTGCCAAAAAGCCGTGCCCCGGTTCCTAGGCACTATGGTCATTATCAAATGTACCTTCTGCTTCCCCCAAATCGAATCATGCTTGTAGAATCGTGCAGTTAGCTGCTGACAAGGCAAAGCGTCCGCTATGACCGATCGGCGTTAGCTGCCTAGATTGACGTGGTCACAGAAACTGGGAAGGATTCGACATTTCAGAACAGATCTTTCTATCTGTCGACAACATCGCCAGTCCGAGCACTACAGAATCGTGGCCTTTCGTGAACTGGAACGGCATATAACGCGGTACTTCCTCGTGCCGTGATCTCACAATTCTCGAATCTTGTCCGAACCATGTTTGCAGACTGGATGCAAAGCCAATGATTAATCAACTTTATCGACCAGCGATCGAAATAATGCAACCATTTTCCCGCGGTTTACTCTTCTTCTCCCTCCTCGTACTCGCTGCTGCCAAATGCCCAACATACATCGACACCGTAGTTCCGTCAGGGCAAACCCGTCGCTATGGCAATCGCGAGCCCGGCGACCCCATCCTGGCAACCATGCACGACGTCCACAAAACCCTCTCAGACTGCGACTCCATCAAAAGTCTCAAACTCCGCGTCACCAGCCTAGGGTGCTCTGAACATCCTGACCGCTGGAACTTCCCACTCGACCTAGCGTCTGGGTCCACATACCCCTCAGAGCTGGAGGCACTAGACCTAGAGGGCTATCATTTTGGCGATCGGATATGGGACGAGATCCAGGAGCCGCCGTTTCGAACAGGTTCCAAGTTTTGGGATAGGATGGAGTGGATTGGCTCCGGGAGAGCCTGGAAGTGGTTGAGGTATCTCCCGTTATCCGCGGAGCAAAAGATCAAGACGAATCTGGACTTGTGGCTGGATGCCATGGATTTCGGGAGCATCAAGAATCTTACCCTGAGGCCCAGGATCGACGAGTATCCTGACGTTGCGAAGCTGGTCCCACACTTGAAATCACTTCAGTCGTTGAAGGTCTATGGCGCCTGGGCAAAAGACCTCATCTTGGGGGTACCTGAGAACTCGTTGACACATCTGTCGTGGATATTCAGTCACGAGACCGGCGCTTCCGCGTTGCCCATCATACGACACCATGCGCAGTCTCTAACAAGCCTCGAATGGCGCGAGGCGGAAAGCGGGACTCGGCAGCGGCGGGTGATGACGGCGGAAGAAATCGTAGAACTCGGCCGCATGGCGCCGAACTTGGAGAGCATTACCCTCGACATCAACCGCAATGGGACATGGCCGATGGAGCACTTTGACGCGCTGGTGACCAACTTCCCAAAACTGACCAACATTACAATCTTCTTGGAGTTTGCGAGCGAGTGCCGGCGACAGCTGGGTGCCTCCACGGAGGGGATCTATGGCTACGAGCAATGGAAGATGGGTGAGGCGTCGGATTGCAGCAGCGGAGTAGAGTCCATGGCCCAGCCGCCGCTCGAGCTTAAACCGGCCATGCAACTGTGGGGACACTTGCGGGAGAAGAAGGTTGGCGATTTGCTGAAGAAAGTCGTTTTCTATGCGGGTGACTGGGAGAGGACGTGGGATGGGCCGATGGCTGAGAACGAATGGCTCGAGGGTAGGAGATCGTTCTTCTGGTGTGAGGCTTCGGACAACCCGCCGAAAAGATATAATGGAGGGTGTGTGGGGCTGATAGCGGATGTTCCTACGAGGCGTAGTTCCTCTGGGTATGATGAAGACGGATGGGATGCTCCGGGTTGGCAAAGCGATTTGGCTCGGCGAGCCATGCGGATGGAGCTTTGAAGTGGAGGACTCTTGAAGATAAAGCGGAACAATCAAGATGGTGTTTCGTGTGATCCAGATGTTGCCTCTCCCTCCGCGCGAGCGTCCCTGTCCATGAGCTCTCTGACCCAACTTCCGATGCCGACGGAGACGCAGACGGTACTCCATCTAGGCCCGTCACCGAAGCACACAAAGTTCTGAGACAGCCAGCCCACAAGCCCCTGCATCATCTCCCCATCAGAGGACGTCCCCTTTCCCTCCGCAACATCCTGCATCCTCACAGCCTGATCAGTCGTAATCTGGCTGAGAATATTCCCCGCAACCTCCTGCGGCGTCTTCCAGTACCTGCTCGGCCTCCCCTTCTTCTCGCACTCATCGCCTGCGAGCTGGTAGACCTGCGTGCAGGTACGCTCGGCGAACTGGTCCGAGAGCTTGCGGAACATGTACCCCTTGTTCTTGTAGTCCATCCTCGCCTGGGCGAGCGATAGGAGATACTTACGGTCGGTGAGATGCTTGGAGTGGCTGAACACGCGGTCCAGGGCTTTGATTGCGGGAGGCGAGGGGCGGGCGTCCCAGAGGTCGACGGTATAGTTCATGGTGGACCAGAAGATGCAGCCGGCGAGGGTGTGCATGCCCGGGCCGAGGTAGGGGACGATGTCGAGCGGTGGTTCGAGGATGCGGATGAGGCGGTCTGTGTCTACCCAGAGGCCGTAGTCTAGACGGGGGCTTGATCTGCCGCTGGCACGGGGGCGCCGTTCTGATGTCGATGATGGGTCTTTTAGCCCTATTGAGGACTGGGTTGTTGCTGGTGGCGGCGGTGGTGGTGTCCGGGACAGATTATCGGGTGGTGATTGTGATGGTCCTAATTCTTCAACATCGTGATCGTCGATGTCATTCATGGCATCATCTTCAGTGATATTGGCGAGTTCTCGTGCGCGACGGAGTGCGGCTCTCAGATCATTTGATGCGGGCTGTCCTTTGAGAGCACTACTGATCTCGGCTATGACATCCTTAAGATTTCTATTCTCCTCTTCGAGCTTCTGAACCTTGGAAGCATGTCGCTTGCGGTACTCGCGCTGAGCAATGACACCGCGCTCACGACGCCGGACCTGGGTCGAGTTAGCGAATCATGTCCATAGCCTGGGCGGATAGCTCATGGGTTACATTACCTCCGCGTCGGCTGGACTCATTCCTTTTTTTTTTTTTTTCGGTACGGTCTCGTTATGGGTGTCAGTCGTTAAAGCAAGTGACCGGGCTCAAGCATGGGCCGAGTCAACGTTATCTCGGATGAGAAATGTTATGGGTGGTTTTGTCTTTGTTGGCGTCGAGAAAGGATTAATCAGCGAGAACTGGGACAGGGCGCATCGTGTCAGCATATGGCGCGGGGCCCACTCCGGCCGCCGCCGGTCCATAACGTTATCTATCCGACTCGGCCCAGCGTCCGGCCCAGCGCCAATGATGTGAATCCTGGCAACTTTGGTCCGAGTCCGAACCTCCAACGTTGACGGTTCTAAGTATCGTCTAGAAGTAACAACCCTTCTTTCCTGAGCTCAATAGCAGAGATTTCAAATACTGGCTGACATGACAAGGCAATGATGCCTTAGCCTCGTTGCCCGTAGTATCAGCCAATCTAGGCGGCACTAAAAGAGCTTAGCCAAGCAATATGCTTACTCCCAAACAGGAGACATGATGTGTTGAATATCGACATCAAAATCACCGCTCTTTGATTTCTGAATACATAAATGAAGGAACCGAAGGACCGGCTAGATATTGGTTTCTCTCCCCCACCTCTAGGCTACACTCTCATTTCACGACTTTAGGAATCAGAAACTCAAGAGACCATTCCAAGACCCGAAAAAGTCACCACAATGTCTTTCCCTGCTCCCACCAAAATTTACCGTACGCAGCCATATGCCGCAATTTCCCCGTCTCGCCCAGAACTCTCAACCAAAGGGAAAAGCGCCTTTATCTCGGGCGGTGGCGCAGGTATCGGCGCCTCCATCGCCAAATCTCTCGCAAAGTCGGGCATCGCAAGCCTCGGCCTACTAGGACGCACAGTCAAGTCCCTCGAGGAGACAAAGACGGCCGTCGAAGCCCTGAACTCGGAGGCAAAGGTGTTTCTCTACACTGTCGACGTCACAGACGCCAAGGCAACCACCAACGCAGTCGCCTCCTTTGCCAGCTCTGTCAATGGAGGCAAGATCGACATCCTCGTTGCCAACGCAGCTTACATGTCCGACCTCAAGACCATCGCCGACTCCGAACCCGATGACTGGTGGCGTGCTTTCGAAATCTCTGTCCGCGGCAACTTCAACCTCCTCCGCGCATTTCAGCCCGTCGCGAAAACCAATGCTGCGGTGATCCACATCTCCACGGCCGCCATCCATCTCCCCTACATGTTTGGCTTCTCCTCCTACCGCGCCTCCAAGAGCGGTGCGACGAAATTGTTTGAGTACTTCCGCGATGAAAACCCGGGTTTCTTCGTGCTTCAGGTGCATCCAGGTCTCATTGGCGGTACGGCCATGTCGGAGAAGTTTGCGCCGACCGTGGAGGAGTTTGGGCTCACGTACGACGATATTGCCCTGCCCGGGGATTTTGTCGTGTGGGCTCTCAGCGAGGAAGCCAAGTTCTTGAATGGGCGGTTTGTTCACGCGAACTGGGATGTCGAGGAGCTGGTGGCGCTGAAGGAAAGTCTTGAGAAGGATCAGAGTCGGTTTACGGTTGGGTTGCAAGGCTGGTACTAGACCATGTGGAGGCTGCGTATGGTTATTATGAGGTCTGCGTGAAAGCATCTGTGGAAACGATCTACCGTACCCAGTTGTCTTACGCCTACCTGTCCATGGTAGAAAACTGCGGGTATTTCTCAGGGCTCGCTGAAAGGACCTTGGCCCGCATTTGGCACTCAAGCATAGAGCACCAATATATACCTTAGAGAAGAAAGAGAAAACAGCAAATCTTACCTCCTCCCCGTCTTCCATTCCTCATTACTATTGACATTTGTCACAAAAAGCGGGCCCACTCTATATGGGCAGCATTAACCACATCCATATCTCGTAACAACATTCGCACTGTATGACACCCCCCTTAGATGTTCTCTCAGGGCCTCCTGGATTTCTTCTCTTGGGCTGGATATTGCCGGGTCTAACTGTGCCCTCAACGTGTTTGGCTAATTCATGTCTCATGGAAGGGAAGCACAGGTAAGCAAAGCAAGAGTTGATTGCGATGTCGGGGTACTAGACGATAACCGTAGAAGTCAAACTCATGGTTCCCAGATCTCAAGGCACAAACTCCTATTGAGCCTTGTAGATGCGTGTGTATTGCACTCTGAACACAAATCCATACAGACAGAATTGAACATCGCATTTATTGAACCTGAACGGATTGGGACGTGAAAGGGGCTGAAGACAACAACCATTCAGACGAGGTCGTTTTTGATTCACCTTGGTCAACTGACATACACTTAAAGCACGTGACTGTCGAACAGATGCCGAACGGCTGATCTGAGTAGTTTTTCAATACTTGGCCTGTCAAGCTGCAAGCGTCGATATCCAAAGGTTCAACAAATACTGCGCTATACTCTCTCCCTTGTTATCAGCAGAAGTGGAATGCCGATGGAAATGAGACTCAGAAGAGTGATACAGTGCACACAAGATACGGAGAAGACTTTTCGTTTCCAGGACATAGTCCAATTACCTCAACAGTTCGGCGACCTGTCTTCTCAAGGTTCACTTCCGCAACAGCATAAATTTCTCCCAGTATTGACACGAACAACGGTAAGTTCATTGTCATTCCGCTATTTACAAAATGTTCCGCCATGGTGAACGACCAATAAACGGGCAATTGCGGCCGTTACTTTGGCTGGATACTAAATTACTGCTCTCGGTCACAACGCCGAGACAAGTGAGTGGGGTATCCGATGTTAGCTAGAAGCCACCTCCCGAATAGTCGAACTCCCGATGAGAAGACGGGGAGGAAGGCACTAGGACAATCGGATAGCCCTTTAAAGAGACCGGGACCGTCCGCAATTCCCGCATGATGCTTTGCGCTGATTTGAAATTACGAGAATGGTTCGCGCTCGTTCTGTTACCAACGTCTGGTCCTCCATGAAGTCCCACTCTTCTTACGCATCCAATACATTTTGTATGATAGTTCATTGAATACCAATTTATTCTTTTGAGAACAGAACTTGACAACTTTAATCCTCGGATAAAACCTCAATGGGGTCACATAAGATCCAGGCCCACGTCCAGGGAGCTGGCTGCGGGTCCAGAGCCGTTGGGATGACGGTGGTGGAGCCAAAACATCGTTCAGCCTCCCGGATGCGGCCCGTCAACGGGATTCAAAGGCAAAAGATTCCCCAACCGGCGAGTCCCCGCAGTGATCAGCTGGTCCACTATCACAATATGCGGTATGAGGCGCCCGTGTATTTGGCTCTCCGAATACTGAAGACCCCTTGGCGGAGACGAAAGCGTACCTCTCCATTGTCCGAGGTGACGAGAATCTGGACCTCCTGCTTCTGCACCCAACACTTCAGAATACTCCGTGACTGTCATTGGGAAGATACTTGGCATCTTGTAAATCTATAAGAACCCTTTTCTCTTGTCCTAAGTTGACAGAACAACCCCCAACATCATCACAGTACGCTCAGCCGACTAAGCAGCTCCATTTCCATTCCTCAGCGCCTTTAATCCTTCGACAGGAAAAAACATCCTTTTCCCCCAATATGAAGGCATCAACTGTTATCCTCGGGTTCTTCTCCTCCCTCGTCATTGCCGCTCCAACTACACCCGCGGGCTCCAATCTTGTTGAAAGACTCTCCATTCTTGCCCCGGTCTGTCAAGGAACTCCAGTATGCTGCTCGGCTGATGTCATCAGCGGCGTGGTGTCTTCAAACTGCGTAGCACGTAAGATATCCAAATCGATCCTTGGTTTACAGGAGCCCAGCGTGAGTCTTTTCAAGCTGACCAATGAGCACAGCTGTCACGCCTCCAATCACCACACTCGGATTTCAAGCTGCCTGCCTGCTCGATGGGAATCGCATTGCCCGATGCTGCTCTCTCAGCGTTGTAAGTGTCCTAATAGTAGCCCTGACTCTGTGCTGTGGCTAACCTCCAAACACTAGATCGGTTTGGCAGTCCTCTGCAAGGCGCCTGGCACCTAAGGAGCTCTCTGAATATCTTGCCACGTCTTTGACATTTCCGAGAACATCGTGCTCCGACAAATGATTCCATTGTTACTTAGAATCTTTAATAATTAATACTTGTCATTTCCATCCAGGGTTTCCGAGCCTTGTTGCATCGTATCCCATGCGCGCAACATCATATGTGGTATCATGATGCTTCACAATTATTGGCTGTCTGCGATGTTAAGAGATCCAGTCCTAATTAGATCCTTGAATATTGGTTTGCATTGGAATTCGGGGCTCTGTGACGCTAGAGATACCGTATCCAGAAGTGTCTCCAGTGTACATACTTTCCAGTATCATTCTATGGGTGGACCATGACCAGTTAGTACATATATGGACCTTTGGTTGGCGAATAGAAGTCACCGTGTACTGGTTTCTATCGGTGCTTGTTCAGTACAGTTTTTTAGTTTTTTTTTTTAGTTTTTTTAGTTTTTTTTTTTTCGATTGCACATGTAACATCATCTTTGCCGAGACGAGAGCAGGTTACAGCCAAATTCTCAGAGGTACACATAATTCATCTAGAATGCTCGGGCTGGGTTGAAAGTTCCTGGAGGCTCACCGCCTCATGCTAGCTCGACTAATGATCAGAAATGGGACCTGTAGTTACTGGGTTGCTCTTCACTCCTGACCACGAGATGTTTGACCCAAATGAGCGAGGCGCCGATCTAGAGGGAGACTCGGTGATACTCGGACACGGAGCCGGAAGATCCAGAGCGGGGCCGGGCAGTTATAGTCGGACGTCCCGGTGTTTAATCCCATTCTGGTCAATTTACTACTCGCCGAAGAGATGCAGCCCAAAGCTGGACGTTGGAATAGACTATTTTCTCATATAATGCCGATCTGAAAGCGTTTCTTTGTTTCTCAATCTCAACGTCTAGTTCATCGCTGCTGAGTCGTCGTCCGCCCTTATCCTGGCGGATGGCGAGCTGTGGGGTTCCGGAACCCGCTTGAGATGTCGCCATCGCACCCATGTAAGCACGACGCGATGTCGGACACAATATCGAC